CCTGGCTTTCTGGGACTTCCTCATCCTCTTCTTCTGCCTGCCTGTGGTCATCTTCAACGAGATCACCAAGAAGAGGCTGCTGGGGGACATCTCGTGCCGCATCGTGCCCTTCATGGAGGTAAGGAGCTGCTCTGCCCCCTTCTTTTGGGGGTTCCATCGCTGCCCAGGGCCTGGCACCGTGTGCCGAGACCTCACCTTGGGGGAACATTTTCCATGTTGACTGCTGAGCAGAGCTGGGGCAGGGATGCGGTTGGGAACCTGAGATCTCTGCTCATTCCTTATGGGTGAAAAAAACGACCCCAAGATATAGAATCATGGGATAGAGTCATTCAGGTTGGAAAAAACCTTTAAGATCAAGTCCGACCAGGAACCTAACGCTACCAAGTCCACGTTAAGTCCCCAAATCACCCCAAATCTTCTGGAGGTGCGCTCTGCACGCTCCTGGGGGCGGCCAGGCTGGGTATTAGTGCAGGAGGCCCCAGGAGCAATTGCTCGTGGCCTGGATGCACACACCTGCGCAGGGCACCCAGAGATGCTACTTTGGGTACAGGTCTGGGTGATTCCAGGCCCAGCCCTATGTGTGCCCTGACCGCAGCCAGCACCTGCAGGTTGCAGCCCGGCACAACGAGATGATGGGCTGCCAGCATCCCAGCAATGCCTCTGTTGCTCAGCGAAGCAGAAGTTGCTCATTCCTGGAGGTCTCCCATCCCAGACTTATTAAGTGAGGGCTTTGTTGCATTCCTGCCCTCCACCCCAAGCATCCCATGGCACGACGAGGCAGCAGGAGTACTCAGATAGGGGCAGGAGTACGGATGGGCATTTGCCAAGGCAGGTTCAGTGCTGGGTGAGAATGGAAAGGGAAGGGGAATGCCCCCAAAGCAGAGCCCTTCATGGGGAGGTGCTGCTGTGACCTGAATCTGGGCGGTCCAGTTTGCTGCACCTGTGAGGGTGGCACCTCCAGGATCAGTGAGCCAGCAGCACTGGACTGCCTCAGGATCCACCAAAGAGGGATGCTGAGATCTTGCTGAGGGGGATGCTGAAGGATGGGCACAGCGCAGCTCTGGGGATGTGTGTCCCAGCACAGTCCCCAAGGACCAGGAGAGGAGAGCCTGGGGGCAGCCTTAGGGTAAAGGAGAGGCGGTGGTACAGCTGGTGCTGAGCAGAAGTGCTGGGACACGAGCAGCACTGCTGGGCGGTGGGGCTGGGTATGGGATGGCAATGGCAATGCTGTGCTGAGGGCCATGGTGCTGTCAGAGGAGACGCTGCACAGAAACTGAGTGGTGATGCTGGGTGTTTGGCATGAGCTGCTGTGCCCTGCAGCACTAACGAGGCCAACTCAGAGCCACTGCAAAGGGCACAGCGGGGATGCCAGAGCTGTTCTGGGTCGGAGGTGCCAGGTCTGTTTCTTGCAAAACCCACTGGCAGGTTGCTGCATGCTGCACACACATCACAAGGTTTCCCAAGCGCTGGGAATGTCCTTCGGCACAGGGGGATGTTTGGTGGCTTCGTGAGGCCAGGAACAGCCACGGGGCTTTCGGGCAGCAGCATGTGACTGCTGTGCTCCTGGCCAGGGGCTGCGGGGTTGAATGCTGATTGTGACCCTCGGCGCCTGGGCAGCCCTCCCTTTGCCTCCTTTGGCCTCTTCCCGTTGGCAAACAGGGGTGTTTCTCCTCAATGCAGTGGAAATTGCCCCGAGCTGGTTTGTGACAACAGTGTCCTCAGCTCTATTGGGCTGCCTGGGAAGCAGGCAGCAGATCTGCAGAACAGGGCAGGGACGAGCCAGCCTGGGCAGCCAGGGCCATGGGAAGGCTTTGATGGGAGCAGAGGTCCATGCTTTTCCTCTCCAAAAACATCCAGAATAGAAGAAGAGCCTGAGAGACAATCCTGCTGTTCCCACCCTGGCTGGATGGACAGACTAGCATCCATCAAAGCTTTGTGCAGAACAGAGAGCAGTGCAGGGACATGTGGGTCAAGGGACACTTATCCGGCGCCCCTCCAGGAGTCACAGGAAGGTGGCTCCACACCTGGGACGCGACCTCTGCCAAACCTTGGAGGGAGGCTCTGGGGCTGTTGGATCTTCTAGTGCCATCATCAAGTCAACCCCTCCGAGGCCCCCACTGAAGTCCCACCTGTTCTGCTTCCTCTTCACCAGGTCTCATCCCTGGGAGTCACCACCTTCAGCCTCTGCGCCCTGGGCATCGACAGGTTCCACGCAGCCACCAGCCCGCAGGCCAGCGCCCGGCCCATCGAGCAGTGCCAGTCCATCATTGCCAAGCTGGCTGTCATCTGGGTGGGCTCCATGACGCTGTCGGTGCCCGAGGTCCTGCTCTGGCAGCTGGCCCAGGACACGTCACCCGTGTCCGGCGTGGTGACCGAGTTTTGCACCATGAAGCCTTCGTCCAACCTGCCCGAGTCCGTCTACTCGCTGGTGCTCACCTACCAGAACGCCCGGATGTGGTGGTACTTCGGCTGCTACTTCTGCCTGCCCCTCCTCTTCACTGTGAGCTGCCAGCTGGTGACCCGCAGGATCCGTGGCACCGAGCAGAAGGCCGAGTGCCGTGGGACCAAACACAGCCAGTGTGAGAGCCACCTCAACTGCACCATCATCGGGTTGACCGTCATCTACGGGCTCTGCACCACCCCTGAGAACGTCTGCAACATCGTGGTGGCCTACATGTCCCCCGACATGTCCAAGCAGACCTTGGACCTGCTCAACCTCATCAACCAGTTCTTTCTGTTCTTCAAGTGCTCGGTGACGCCCGTCCTGCTCCTGTGCCTCTGCAGACCCCTGGGCCAGGCCTTCATGGATTGCTGCTGCTGCTGCTGCGAGGGCTGCGGTCCCGACGCCGCCTCCAGTGAGGGCAGCGCCGATAGCAAGCTGAAGACAGAGATGTCCTCCTCCATCTTCTTTGACAAGCCCCGGGAGTCCCCTCCGCCCCTCCTGGCTCTCGGCACGCCGTGCTAAGTGCCAACCAGGAGCCGTAGAGCATTTCACCACCTCCTCCCAAGACCAAACGTTGTTTCTGCCATTAGTGCCCCGTGCCCGGACGTGGAGCAAGCAGGAGAGTCAGCTCAGGGGCTGCACCATGGGCTTCAAACCCCGTGTTGGGCAAGGGGTGTCCCGTCCCCGTGGCTACATGAGTGGCCTTCTTGCCTCTGCCCAAAGGACATCAGCTCCCTCTGTGCCTGGCCAGGCTGGGAAGTTGCTGCTCTGCTGATGGAGTTGTGCAGGAAAGGTCCCATCTGCTATCAAGGAGGGTTTGCAGAGGACTTAGCAAACACAAACTGCCCTCGTCCTGTCCCGTCCCCTCCTGCCAGCCCCCTCCACAGTAGGAGAAGGTCCCAGCGACCAGATCCCAGCAGTGCCCTGTAAGAGCTCAATAAACCAGTAAACTAGAGCACGTTGTGCACGTAGACATGCAGAGCAATGGGGGGTCAGAGCACGGTGGGCTGTGTGACCCCACTCTCTTCCCTTAGACCTGGGGGCTCTGGGTGGGCACGGGCAGCTCAGTGGGGTGAGGACACACGGGGGTCAGGAAAACAGCAGCGTTGGGCCAGGCAGCGGCTGAGGGTAATGGCGTGCTGCTGAGAGCCAGGGCAGCCTCTGCTGAGCTCCTCCAAGCACTCAGTGTTTTGTGGGGTTGGGTTGGTCCCAGCAAAGCTCAGCACTGGGCAGCGGTGCCCTACAGCCTGCAAAGCACTGTGCAGAACCAAGATCCCACATCCCATCCAAAGAGCCCCATGCAGCGCTCCTGGCTCCTCGTCCACTTTGCCCATCAGGGGCACAAAACCCACCCGAGGTGCCGATCTCAAACCAGCACACGTTCCAAACCCAGCATCCACGTCTCACCAGGGCTTACCAAGGCAGGCTGCTGGGAGCAGCGAGGGCAGGCTGGCCGTGCCGGGCCCCCCCGTGCTGCCCCCAGAGCCGAGCTGTGAAAGCTCCTTGTGTGTGTGGCTGGCAGCCGCCCCAGCGCGGGATGCCGGGCAGAGGGAGACGGTTGCTACGGGCGGGTGAATGCGAGGGGCTCACTGTGGGCTTTGTGCAGCAGCACCCACCGAGCTTTGCTTTCTCAGCCCTGTTACCAGGGAAACAAAAGCCCCAGTTTTCTTCCCAGTAGCACAAAACTGAGTCTTTCCTTTCCCTCTGCCAGCCCTCCCCGCGTTGTGCTGACGCTGCTGGGGCTGTGGGGGTTTGGGAGCTCCTCACGGCACAGGGCGTGCATTGGGGCACAGATGCCCGGCAGGGTCCCGGTTAGGGCACGGCTCCCCAGGGCTGGGCCCCCTGCATAGGCAGCAGCGAGGCGGGAGGAAGGGCGAGGTGGCCGCTCTCAGGCGCTCACTCAGTGCCGCTCCGTCCTGAGCCCCGGCCAGGGGCGAACAAAGGCCGGCTTGTTGCTGCGGCTGTGTGGGGAGGAAGGAGCCAGGCTGGGGGCAGGGAGGGGGGGCTGTGCAGCCCATGCAGGCGATGCGTGGTGCCTATTGCACCCCAGTCTCACTCAGACCCCGCACCCAGGCAGGCAGGCAGGGTGCTGTAAGCACAAAGCGCAATTCCAGGTGCAGTAGGGCAGCCTCTAAGAGACACACGGTACGGGGCACCCTGCCACCACGGCTCACAGCCCACAGGGAAGAACTGCTAGAGGCAGGAGGGCAGAGATCAGACACCCCAGCACAGCTGCTCCAAATCCAGCACTGCTGTCCCAGGATAGGCCCAGAACACAGTGTGGGCGAGAGGAGAATCCAGCAGCGATGGCCACAGCTGGAGGGCTTGGAGCCCATCTCCATGAGTAAACAAACAATGCACTAGGAGCCATCGGATGGGTTCCAGCAGGTCCTGAGTGTCACCATGGGGACTGCAATCCGGACAGAGGCACCAGGTACTGCAGGGTGAGCAGGGACAGGGGGCTGGGCAGCACTCCCATGGCACAAGGATAGCCCTGAGGAGGGGGGGAGAGGGGGGAACAGTGGCAAAGAGGAAGCAATGACTGCAACCACACCCACCAACGCAAAATTGTTAATTTATTATTATTAGGAGGCAAAAAAATTGTACAGTTACAAGAATCATTTCCCAACAGAGGTCAAATTTGCGCCAAAATATCTCTTAAAAAAAAAAAAAATGGGGCGGAGAGGGATGACAACACTTTACAATCCATTAAATTAAAAAAAAAAAAGAAAAAAAAGAAACCTCTCTTTGTGCAATTCTGCAAAAATGAGAACAGAAGGGAACCCCCGGCCTCACCACCCCCAGGAGCCACGCAGGAGCTGAAAGCCCCCATCGCCCGTCATCCCCACAACCCCACTGGGGCTGGGGACAGGGCCAGTGCCTTCCCACTATGTCAGACCTGGCCCCATCCTCCCTGCTGCTGCCAGCATGCCCCCTTTACCCAGAAATATCCCACCCCCACCAGCCCCAAGCAACCCCAAGGCTGCACCAGCACAGACCCAGTAACTCAGCACAAAGGGACAAAGACACCCTGGCTCTTGGAGGCCTCCTCTCCTCTCCCCTCCCCACGTGCAAGGCAAGGAGCCAGCTGTGCCACCCAGCACCCCGAGGCTGGGCAGCAAAGCCAGGGCCAGGGCACAACTGGGCACCCCTGGGGCACCCGGGGGTACGGGGCTGAGGCGGCCAGGGCAGCGAGGAGAGGCGGGGGCAGCTGAGGGCAATGTGTGCAGGCTGGTGGCAGTGGGTTGTGACCAATCCCATCCCCACGCTGGGGTGAAGAGCTTTGGGGTGGGGGGGGGAGATGGCATTGCCCCCACAAACCCTGCTGTGGGGACTGAAGCCTGGGGAAGGACAGCACAGATGTGCCCCCCACAGCCCCAGGGTGCTGCAGCTCCTCCTGGGGGACTTGCCTGCAGCCCTATCCGGCCCCATCCTGGGGGCTGCTGTCTGCCACGCACCTCATCCTCCTCCCAGTGCTGAACTCGGGCAGCCCACAGCCTTCCTACAGCTCACAGGGCCCAGTTTAGTAACAGCGCTAGTGCTTAAATTAAAAAATTAAAATATATATACATATATATATACTGTATACACAGACAACAACAGAACAGTGCCAAAATGGGAAGAAGAGACAGAGAGAGGAAAGGAGGGCAGAGTCGGACATTTTCTTTACAATAAAAACAAGGGCTCCACCTCAATGCGAGTGGAGTCTGGGGTCCCCTAAAAATACCCATCTAGAGAGAAAGAGCTGGAGGGACAGAGCAGGAGAAGGAAAGGGTATGGGCTTGTACAATGGCATCTTCCCGATCTGAGCTGCAGTCCAAGGGATCTCAGCTTCTCCTGGACTTCGAGTGCTGAATAAGCCACTGTAGGGTGATGTCTGCAAAGGCAAGGGGTGTTTAAAAAAAAGCCTCTCCCTTCAGCTATCTCCCCCTCCTGCACAGGGAGAGCAACCTGGGTGCACTACAACAAGCCCTGGTCCCCACCCACCGGCATACTGAGCCACTGGCACTCACCAATGTTGTCCTTTTCTTTGCAAGAGATAGAGTAGCAACAAATCTCTCGGTCCTGGATGGCAGAGAGGTTCCTGCAGGAGAGGAAGAGCTCTGGCTGAGTGCTGCAAACTCTGCAGGCTACACTCTCTGCAGCAATGGGTGATGCCTCAAGTCCCTTTGGACTCAGGCTCTGAGAAGGGGGTGCCCCTGTAAGGGCAAAGTCCCCAGGATCTTGGGGACTCCAAGGAAGGCCGAGTGAAGACACTGTTGCATTGCTCCTGCTGTCTGACAGCCAGGCTGGCACAGGGGCTGCATGACAGGCAGGAGCAACCTGGCCTCCAGGAGATCCTGGCCAAGAAATCTCACAGCTTTGCTCAGAGCATCGTACAATTCAGTTACACAGCACAGCTGGCAGATTGCAGAATGGCCAGGGTTGGAAGGGACCTCAAGGATCACGAATCTCCAACCTCCTGCCACACGCAGGGCCACCAACCTGCGCATTTAATGCCAGACCAGGCTGCCCAGGGCCCCATCCAGCCCGGCCCTGAAATGAGATGGGGCACAAAGGACTTGGGAACTGCACAGGGTGCACAAAGGATGAGGGCAATCTCTGAGCAGCGCCGAGGTGCCCCGGGCCGAGCTCCTGGCACGGTGACACCCTGTGCCTCCGCAGAGCGCTGAGCACGGCCTGCCGGGCCCCCGCGCCCCCCAGCGGCACAGAGCCCAGCTGCCGCCCCGGCTCCTGCAGCCCGCGGGCTGTGCTGCTCAGGCAGCTCCTGTCCCAGCCCCGGCCACCTGCACTTACATCTTCTCAATGAGCTCCTTCTCATCCAAGGCACCAGGCAGATCTCGCTTGTTCCCCAGGACTAGGACCTGTAGAAGGGGAGAGGGGACGTGTGAAGCTCCTGGGCACCAGAGTGTGCAGGGAACGGAGCCTGGCACCCTGCACCAAGACCTGTTTGGGATGTGAGAAGTCCAGGCTACTTCACCAGAGGACAAAGAAAATCCCTTCAGCAGGCAATGAGAAGGCAGAGCACCTCCATTAACGGTGTTCATTGGCTTGTACCCAGCATCTCCTGCATACTTTCCTGTCCCACTGAGAAGCTGCCCAATCTATCCTCTCTGAAGGACACCGGTTTCCCTTGAGGCATGTAGGACACTCCACCAGGAGCCATTTATCTTTGAGCAAAAAATCCAAGTGAAGCTGGATGGGCTAAAATTGACATTATCAGGATACAAACACCCTGCAGAGCCTTGCTCCCTGCAGGCAGCCAGCCCAAAAAAAGCAATGGCTGTTTGCAGTACCCCCTGATCTCTTACTTCAAGGCTTTTCACATCCACAAAGAAATCCTAGGACTAAGCAAAGAAAATAAACCTCAGGCAGGACTTCCTCATCGCTCCTGAGCGAACCACAAGACTGTCATCTGACAAGGACAGCACTGAGGCAGCTGTAAATCAGGGCCTCTGCAGCAGCACCGCAATACAGCGTCCCCCAACTTACATTTGGAGTAGCCTTGTTCTTAAAAAAGAGCACTGTGAAGCGCTGCAAATGCAGTGCCTTATGTCAGAGGCTTAATTTAGTTGGCCACGAATGCTTGGGATGTGGTGCAAGGTCCTAGATCAGCTCCTTTCCAAGGATGCCAATTCCAGAGGCTCCGTCAGCATCCTACCCTGGCACATGCAGCTGCCAACTTCGAGTCCCACTGCTGACAGCTCATCTCCTGCAAACATCACAGCCGAGCACCTGTGCTACTGGGTGGTGAAACCTGAAGGTCTCCCCTCACAAAAAGGTGCAAATTCATGCAGGGGGACAGTCTCACACATAAGGGTTTCTCTTGGTCTCTTCTAAGCCTCCCTCCTAGGGCTGGAAGTGCTGTTCAGCCCAGCCCTGGGATAGAAAGCATCACTTCCCCAGTTTCAGCAGGAGTGCAGTGGGATGGTGTGTGTGCAGTGGACGAGTGGATAGGACACCCTTATCCTACCCAGGCAGCAGCTCACCGGGATGCCCTGGAGCTGCGGCTTGTCGAGCAGGTTATGAAGTTCATTCTTCGAGGCCTCGATCTTCTCCTGGTCAGCAGCATCCACCATGTACCTGAAAGGGAAGGAAACCTGAGCACAGGCATGTGGCAAGCAGAGAGAACTGGTCAGCTGGTGAAGACCACAAAAATCTGATTTTCTAACTTGGTTTGAACAACTCCAACCTCAGCTTGCAGGTAAATATTTGTTCTTAGGAGTCTGCTTTCCATGAACGTCTTTGCCAGACTTGTCTCCATCTTGGACTCTCTGGGAGTGAACTTCCTGCAATATTTGCAAGTAGGGGACATGCAAGGACACTCACAGACTGCTGGCAGTCAGCAGCAAGCATTGCACAGATTCCTCTAAGCACAAGGTTCACTCAGCAGCATAAACATGGACCCGGGAATACACTGCTGGCCATTAGCCCTCACATTATCCTCTTGAAAAGGGCCAAGACCCCTCTGACCTTTGCTCAGTCCCTCTTACGGCTGAGCAGCACAAAGCAACCAAGGGAGCAGGGAAAGGCAAGATCCAAGGCGTACAGCTGGGCTGAGGAATGCTGAGTGGAAGGGAAGGCTCCACAGGGCTGGGATTCTGGAGACACTCGAGGTGCATTTGCTGCCCTGTGCTCAAAGCCCATGAGGCACTGAGACTGCGATGCTCTGCCCAGTGGTGGAGCTGCTCAGCCTTGCTCAGTACCCTCAGGTAGGGTGAGAAGGATGAAGGGACGGCCCCACGGCTGGCCAAGCTGCATGTTGTCACTGCCGCTGATGGATACTCACACGATGGCACTCACTCCACGGCAGTACCGCTCCCACATGCTGCGAAAGCGCGGCTGGCCGCCGATGTCCCAGAGCTGTGACAGGAAGAAGAGCCATTAGCACAACCCCCCATCACAGGCTGCCCTCCCAGCACGCACCAAATGCAGCCCCGTTTCCTCCTCTGTGCCCACCAGCGCCTGATCTCAAACCCAAGGATGAGGCTCCAGACTCGATAAAGCAAGCAGCTGGAGAGCATTAGTCCTGGGTCAGTGCCTCCTGTGACTTAGAGAGGCTCTGACAAGCCTCTGCTCACACAGAGAGCCACCCTGGCCAGAGCCCGGGGCCTCTTCCCCATGCCCACCATCCCAGGAGCCTGGAGGAACTGATGCATTTGCCAGTGAAAAGCAGTAGGCCTGCTCTCAGAAACACTGAAGCATTTCCAGCTGAGCTGCAGAAGATGACCAGCCCACAGTTACCTCCTAGTACAGTCTGGGGACCTGGAAGACCCAGGGGGACAGGAACCTCTTCTCCCTTCACCCTCAAGGCAGAGAACACACCTAAAAGCTGCGCCCTTTCTCCCCAACCCTCCCACTCTCAGCAAGGTGACCATGTCTACAAATCCTAACCAGCAAGCTCCAGCTTTACAGCCTGGCCTGGCTCTTACTGCAAAGATCCAGATCTCTTCCATCCCTACTCACAATCTCCTCTGGAAGGTACTGTGCAAACCTAAAGGGCAGATCTTCCTAATAGCAATCCTTAGGAACAAGCAGCTGGCACTGCTGGGATCCTTCAGCCTCCAACGGGAGAGCCCACAGGTCAGCCCTCACCCCAACTTTCCCCCCAGTTGGGAAGATATCTTCTGCACCTCACCTTTATGGTAACGTTCCCTTTGGTGATCTTCCTCATATTGAAGCCCACCGTTGGGATCATGTCTTCATTGAACTGGCCTGACTGCAAGGACAAGCCAAACAGCATTAGGAGGCTCAGAAACCCAATCAGCCTGCCCCAGGGAGTGCAGCAGCACCGCAGGGGCTGAGGGTCTGGCCAGAAACAAACCCAAATCCCCTGCGGGGGCCTCATCTCCCACCCCCCCATCCCCACGAGCCGCCCCTTGGCTGCTGAAGCCTTATCCACACACAGGCAGCAGAGCTCAGCCACGCGCTGGGCTGAAGCATGAAATTGCTGCAGATTCACAGCAGCCCACTGCCACCACAAAACTGGGTTACTGCCGTCAGAGCGGTGAGCAGAAGCCATCCCTGTGCTGCGGGGAGATCCGCCTCCCTGCTGGAGGGCTGGGACAGTGCTGGGCCTTCACAGCCCACCTCCGCCTGGATCTGACACTGCTGAGATAATGACGCTCCTCTCCAATCAGCTCCAGCCCCCAGGCCCGCCAAGGTGACTTCAGGACAACAATGAAAGCCCATTCATAAAACCCATTTAAAGCCGGGATGAAATCCTGCAGCCCCAGACCTGAAACCACACAAAGAGAAGGCAATTGATGCCATTTTCTGATAAGCAGAATTTAGCCAGTCCTCAGGATTTTCCAAACCTCTTCCAGCAGTTCTGCAATACGCGCCGCTTCCGTTTTTCATTTCCCTTTTGCATTCTGACAGCAAAGAACAGCAGCCAAGAGGTCTCTGAGCCAAAGTGCACTCAGAAAGCACCCTGGGGACCAGCGGCAGGGAAGAAGGGTGGAGAGCAGGGCTGCAGAACCACTCCAGCACTCCAACCCACTCCCCCATCCAATAAGCCCAGGCCGGGCACGTGACACCCCCAGGGCGCCATCAGAATCTTTGTGTTGTTTTTGCTTCTTCAGCATCGCACCACAGTCCCAAATGTGCCAGACCCCACTGCCCAGCTGCTGCCTTCTCCCAGGGCACAACCAGGAGATGCTACAAGAGCCAGGCAGAGAAACAAAGCTCCACTGAGCTCCTCAAAGCTGCAGCCATCCCTGAGGCTCTGAGACGGTTTGGACCACAGATTTCCAAGCTGAGCTGCTTGAGTCCCACGCTGCCCTTTTATCTTCACACCCATTTGCACCCACTGATGTTTACATTCTCACTGAGGCTTCCTTTTAAGTTTGTGCTCTTTCATTCAAAAAAAAAATAATAATAATAATTACAACACAGCTCTTTGCTGCACCTAGAGCTTAGGTTATGCTGTGGGGGAACTCGAGGACAAGGAACATCAGCCAGGTGACACACCAGCAGTTCCCTTTGCCTTTGGCTGACCGTGGCCACCTGCAGCAAAGCCCTCCCATGGCACGGCAGCAGCAGGGCTGCAGCTCTGCAGGCAGCCAGCCCATCTTCCAAGCACCTGACTTCCATTTTTGTAGCCAGGTGAAGAACAGCAGCGAAAAATGCTGGAAGATGCAAAGCCTCCATGAGCCCCAGCGCTAGCACAAATCTTCAGACTGTAGAATGTCATCTGGACCCACAGATTTCTTGGAGAATCTCTGCATCAGTGCTGAAATCAGATGCTTTTCAAGAGTTCAGTTGTTTTTTCTTTCACCCAGAAGCCTGAATCACAGCCACTTCTCCTTCTAACGCTTCTGTTCCGACACCTTAAAGACAGATGAGATGCTTCACATGCTCCTCACGCAGATCCTGTTGGGTTGGGATTTTTTGGCATCTTGATTTTTTTCCAGTTGTCTCTGGCAAGTTCACATTTGCAGGACGTTACCTCAAAGATCTCTGTTTGTTTTCAGCGTGCGTCTGCCAAAGAAAATCTGAACTGTCCAAATAACTTCACAGACAGGAGGCCCACCTGCAGAGCCTGAGCACCTTGCCCAATAACCAGAGCCAAAGTGACTGCAAGGTGCTGCACACCCCATCACCAGCTGCTTAACACCAGCAGAACACGCAGCCAGCTTTAGCCCAAGCACTGGAACCTCCCTCAAGAGCTGCCGGAATAACCAGACGTCCCAGTTCCCTACACCAGCCACAGTGGCTAAGTGGGATGAGCCTTTGAGCCTTGCGCTGGAGTCCTGTATGCTGCAAAACTGTCACATGTGAGCCATTCACGTGTAGAACTGGAAACCCCAGAAGCCATCAGGCATGGCTGGGGAGGAGGGACACACGGGGACAGGGCTTTTGGAAAAGCAAGAAGGTGGGGGGCTTCCCCACTATTTCCAGGCACACACAGACAAAACAGCTCAGCAGGTTTGGAGTAAAGCTCCACTTCAAGAGGGAAGAAATTATTTTCCGCTGGATTTTTCTTAATTCAGCCTCTGTTGCTACTAACAGAGAGGCAGCAGCAGGACCAGCCCACACATGGCACTGCTGTGTCCCACCCCAACATGAGACTGCAAAGCAGAGCAATGAATGGCAGCAACAACGTGGGCCCTGGAAGGACTTACAGACAGAGCAGGCACGGAGCTCCCTGTCAGCCACTGCTCACCGAGGGGGGTGGGAGCACCAGGCTGTGTGCTGAGCGCATGCAGCAGCTGCCAGCAATGAGCTTGGGAACACCCAGAGCTGCATCTCGGGGCTCAGCGCAAGGAGGTGCAGCACCGTGACATCGGTTCTGTGGGAAGGCTGGTTTCCATTCCTGCCATGCCCAACCAACGGAAACCCACCCACAGAGAACAGCTGCAGTGCACTGAAGCTTCCAAATTATCTGCAAAACCACCTTTGACAGCACAGCAGCTTCTGAGCGAGCAGAAATAACTCGCTTTGCTTCAGAGCCGAGGAGCAAGGATGGCGCGTGCAACGGGGCCACAGCCGGGAACTGGGACAGACAGACAGACCCCAATGAAGCTCTGAGATTCCCGAGAGCCCAGCCCCAAACCTTCGGGACGCACCGCGGGCGGCTCCCATCGCACCGCACCGCGTCTGGAGACGGCGGGGAGAACCCAAAAACGGCCCGAACGCGGGGGGCAGAAGGGGCTTTGCGGGGCGGCCCTGCGAGGACAGCCGGCGGGGTTCGGGCTGCGGGGCCGCGCGGCGCGGGATGACGGGCGGGGCGAGACGAACCCAGCGGGGGACGCGGCGGCCGGGCTGCAGCCCCAGCTGGGCGCCGGAGCCGCGCCTCGGGAGCGGAGCTCATCGCGGCCCCACGGAGAGCGAAATCCGCGCCGCCGTCACGGACGGAAGCGCGAGACAAACGGGCCTCGCGGGGCCGAACCCCGGCGGCAGCGGGCGGAGCGACGGCCGGGCCTCGGACCGGACCGTGACGGAGCGGCGGCCCCGGGGCGGAACCGAGGGCGGCGCCGGGGCTCCCGCAGAGAGCGCGCCGGGCCGGGGCCGCCCGGGTGCGGGGGGGAGGCCCGGCCCCGACGGCCGCGGGGTGCGGGGCGCGGACTCACCGCGATGACGTTGACGAACGTGGTCTTGCCCGAGTACTGCAGCCCCACCAGGGTCAGCTCCATCTCCTCCTTCCAGAACAGCGCCCGGAACCAGTCCAGCAGCTTGTTGAAAAGGGCCAGCATGCTGCCGCGCCGAGCCCCGCCGGGCCGAACCGTGCGCAGCCGGGCGGAGGCGAGCCGAACCCTAGCAGAGCCGGGCCGAAGCGGGTGGAACCGGGCCGGGCCGCGCCGAACCCCGCCGCACCGCCGGGCCGCGCAGCGCCGCCGCCCCGGTATTGTCCGCGCGCC